CTGGGAAAGAGCTGCATCATCAGAGCAAAACCAGCCTTACTCATATGGATAAGACAAAGCTTTCAAGACCTCCATTTGCTGACATGGCTCCACTCAAATTGAGGAAAAACAGCTGCAAATATCCATTAATAATTGGAATATGGAATGTACAAAGTATGAATCTAGGAAAATTGGAAGTTGTCAAAAATGAAATGGAACACATAAAGATTGATATCCTAGGCAATAGTGAGCTGAAATGGACTGGTTTTGGCCATTTTGAATCAGACAACCATATAGTCTACTGTGCCAGGAATGACAGTTTGAAGAGGAATGGCATGGCATTCATTATCACAAAGGATGCTTCAAGATCTGTCCTGAAGTACAATGCTGTCAGTGATAGGATAATATCCATACGCCTACAAGGAATACCCATTAATACTACTAATATTCAAATTTATACACCAACCACCAAAGACAAAGATGAGGAAATTGAAGATTTTTATCAACTTCTACAGTGTGAAATGGACTGAACATGTAATCAGGATGTGTTAATTATCACTGGTGACTGGAATGCAAAAGTTGGAAACAAAGAAGAATTGCCGGTAGTTGGAAAATTTGGCCTTGGTGACAGAAATAATGCTGGAAATCGCTTGGTAGAATTTTGCAAAACCAATGACTTATTCATTGGAAATACCTTTTTTCAACAACACAAAAGTACATGTGGACTTCACCAGATGGAACACACAGGAATCAGATTGACTACATCTCTAGCAAGAGGCGATGGAAAAGCTCAGTATCTTTAGACAAAAAAAAAAAAGACCAGGAGCTGATTGTGGAACAGACCATCAACTGCTCATATGTGAGTTGCATATGCAGGCAACTTGAAGTTGAAGACAATTAAGTCCACGAGAGCCAAAATATGATCTTGAATATATCCCTTGTGAATTTAGAGACCATCTAAAGTATAGGTTTGATGTATTGAACACCAGTGACCAAAAATCAGAAGAATTGTGGGAAGTCATGAAGAACATCATCCATGAAGAAAGTGAGAAGTCACTCAAAATATGAGAAAAGAAGACCAAAATGGATGACAGAAGAGACTCTGAAACTTGCCCTTGAGCAGACAGTAGCTAAAGCAAATGGAAGAAATGACAAGATAAAAGAGCTGAACAGAAGATTTCAAAGAGAAGCTTGAGAAGACAAAGCCAATTACTATAATGAAACGTGCAAAGACCTGGAGTCTGAAAACCAAAAGGGAAGAACATGCTCGGCATTTCTCAAGCTGAAAGAATTGAGGAAAAAACGAAAGCCTCGAGTTGCAATATTGAAAGATTCTATGGGCATAATATTGAATGATGCAGGAAACATCAAAAGAAGATGGAAGGAATATACAGAGTCACTGTACCAAAAAGAACTGGTAAATCTTCATCCATTTCAGGAGGTGGCACATGATCTAGAACCAATGGAATTGAAGGAGGAAGTCAAAGCTGCAATGAAGGAATTGGCGAAGAACAAGGCTCCAGGAATTCATGGAATACCCATTGAGATATTCAACAAATGGATGACCCACTGGAGGCACTCACTCGGCTATGCCAGGAGATTTGGATGACAGCTACCTGGCCAACTGACTGGAAGAGATCCATATTTGTACCCATCCCAAGGAAAGGTGATCACACAGAATGTGGAAATTATTGAACAGTATCATTAATATTGCACGCAAGTAAGATCTTACTAAAGATAATTCAAAAACATTTGAAGCAGTATATTGACAGAGAACTTCCAAAGTTGCAAGCTGGATTCAGAAGAGGACATGGAACAAGGGATATTATAGCTGTTGTCAGATGGATCTTGGCTCAAGGCAAAGAATACCAGAAAGATATTTACTTGTATTTTATTGACTATGCAAAGGCATTTGATTGTGTGGATCATGACAAATTATGGATATCATTGAGAAGAATGGGAATTCCTGAACACTTGATTGTACTCATGAGGAACCTGTACATCTGACCAGGAGGCTGTCATTCGAACAGAATAAGGGGACACTGCATGGTTTAAAATCAAGAAGGGAGTGCATCAGGGTTGTATCCTTTCCCCATACCTTATTCAATCTATATGCTGAGCAAATAATCTGAGAAGCTGGAGTATGTGAAGAAAAATGTGGCATCAGGATTGGAGGAAGAATCATTAACAACCTGAGATATGCAGACGATACAACTTTGCTTGCTGAAAGTGAGGATGACTTGAGGCATTTACTGATGAAGAATGAAGAATAGAGTCTGCAGTATGGATTACATCTCAAAATAAAGAAAACAAAAATCTTCACAACTGGACTAATAAGCAGCATCACGATAAATGGAGAAAAAATTGAGATTGTCAAAGAATTCACATTGCTTGGTTCTACAATTGATGCCAATGGAAGCAGCAGTCCGGACATTAGATGACATGTAGCACTGAGCAGGTCAGCCACAAGGGAACTCTTTCAAGTGCTGAGGAGCAAGGATGTCTCTTTGAGGAGTAAGGTGCACCTGACACAAGCCATGATATTTTCAATCACCTCGTATGCATGTGAGAGCTGGACAATGAATAAGGAAGACCGAGGAAGAGTTGTTGCTTCTGAGTTGTGGTGCTGGCGAAGAATGCTGAAAGTACCATGGACTGCTAAAAGAACTAACAGATCTGTCCTGGAAGAAGTGCAGTCAATCGAGATGCTCCTTGGAAGCAAGAATGGCCAGACTTCGTCTCACCTACTTCGGTCATGTTGTCAAAAGAGACTACTCTCTGGAGAAGGATGTCATGCTTGGTAAGGTGAAGGGGCAATGAAAGAGGGGAAGGCCTTCAACAAGATGGATTGACACGGTGGCTGCAACAATGGGCTCAAGTACAGCAAGGATCATGGAGCTGGCACGGAATCAGGCGATATTTTGTTCTACTGTGCATGGGGTTGCTATGAGTAGGAAATAGCTCTACGGCACCTAACAACAACAACAACAACTCAAGAAGAAATATAAAATCTCAACAGATCTATAACAAGTGAAGACTGAATCAGTAATCAAAAACCTTCCAAAAGAAAAGTTCAAGACCAGGTAGTTTCACTGGTGAATGCTATCAAACATTTAAAGGACAATTAAAACCAATCCTTCTCAAACACTTCCAAAAAAGAGAAGAGGAGGGAACACTTCCTAACTTATTTTATGAAGTCAGCATTACCCTGATACCAGTGAAAAGACACCACAAGAAAACTACAGACCAATATCCCTTGTGAATATAGATGCAAAAACCCTCAACAAAATACTAGCAAACCAAATTCAACAGCATGTTAAAAGGTTAATACACCAGGACCAAGTGGGATTTATCCCAGGAATGCATGAGAACTTAAGAAAATCAATGTAATACACCATATTTGTAGAATGAAAGAAAAGAACCATGAGTGTCTCAATTTATGCAGAAAAAGCATGTGACCAAATTCAACACTCTTACATGATAAAAATCCTCAGCAAAGTAGGAATAGAAGGGAAATTCCTTAAGATGATAAGGGGCATAGCCTTAGGCTAGGTTTTCTAGACAATCAAAACCAGTGAAGCTTATATATATATATATATATAAACACATATGTATATGTATAAATATATATACACACACACACACATATATATGTATATACATACATATTTGTATATATTTATACACACATATATAGAGAGAGACAGAGAGAGGTTTATCTCAAAGAAAAAGCTCAGTGGCTCACGAAGTTGTAGAGGCTGGGAAGTCCTAAGTCTGTGGGTCAGGTAGCATACTGGAGGCTTCTTCTGATTCACAGGTCAGAAGGTCAGATGGCAAGCTGCTGGCTCATGGCCTGTGGAGGTTGACAAATCCAGGATAGGCAGGTAAGATGGCCAGATGCTGGTGCACAGGTTTGTAGGCTACAAATCCCAAGATCAGCAGGCAATATGACAGGGCATTAGTTCAAAGTTCAAAGAACTGGAGGTCAGATGCAGGATCCAGATTGAGCAAAAAGCCACAGAGCTTTGCCAGGACACCTATATATATTGGAATCAGGCCAGATCCATGAGGAAGCTCTCTTTCAACTGATTGGCTGCTCATAGCAGATCTCATCATGGAGATGATTATATTATATCAGACCTTATCATAGGGGATGACTATATCATAATTGCTAAACCACTGAGAATCATGGCCTAGGCAAGTTGACATACAACCTTAACCATCACAGGCAATTTTGAAAAATTCATAGCTAACATCATACTCAATGGTGAAAGAATAAAAGGTTTTCCTCTTTTCCTCTAAGATTACGCTAAACACACATCTGTGCCCATTTTCACCACTGCTATTCAGCATTGTACTGAAAGTTCTAACCAGAGATTAGGCAAGAACAAGAAATAAACCAGAAAAATAAACCAGAAAGGAAGAAGTAAAGCTATCTATATTCACAGATGACATGATCTTATATATAGAAAATGCCCAAGAATTCCCAAGAAACCTATTAGCCTTAATAAAGGAATTCAACAAATTTGCAAGATAGAAAATCAACATTAAAAAAATCAGTTGTGTTTCCAAAAACCAGCAATGAACAATCCCAGAAGGAAATTAGGAAGACAATTCCATTTACAACAACATCTAAAGGAATAAAATATCTAGGAATAGATTTACTTAAGGAGGTGAAAGACTTATACACTGTAAAGTACAAAACATTGCTGAAAGAAATGAAAGAACACTTAAATAAATGGAAAGAAATCCTATGTTCATGAATTGGAAGACTTCATATATTATATGTAATTAGAAAAGATCATAAAGCTACATCAGAAAAATAAACACTGCAATTAGTAGAAGATAGTTTTATTCTACAAACAATAAGTGTTGGAAAGCAACTTTAAAGATCAGTTATCATTTAACAGTTGAAATTCCAAAGAGAGAAAAATATTCCCAATTAATGATGTTATTTTATTATAAAGTAATTGCTTCAATAAAGGAACACAGAACAAAAAGCTCTGCTAATTATAACTTACAAAAATATAAAGTGGATCATACTCTGGAGATCTAGCTAAGGCTTCAGGTGGTTTCATGTCCAAGACTGAGGTCTTGCCAGAGAGCTGAGGTGTGGAGTCCTGATTTGGAAGGGCTATGATGGTGGTGGCTTCATCCTGTACAAGACCAAGAGCAAGCATTAGTCCTGAGGCCAGGACAAAATGGGAAATGAGAGTGATTCTTGAAGGTGGAGAAAGGTTACCTCAGCTCCTTGCTTCAGTGTTCGAGCAAGCTTTTCTGGTTTATAACTTGTTGAAGACTCCTGGACAGAGAAGGGTTGATACCCTTTGATTCTGTACAGTTGAGGAACCTGGGGGTGAAAGAAGTCAACTGACTGAATATCCTTAAAAACCTTTTAAAATTTGAAGCATCACTATAAATACTGGTGATATTTAAAAGAGGTTGGTGGGATCTATGTCTAACAACAGCATTTCTGAGCTGCTTGATGGTAAAAGTAAAACATCACCATGTTATAATCTTAGATTGTGGCAACTGATACTTTTGACTTAGCACTAGACAAGTCCTGAGCCCTTTTCTGAGTCCCCTAAGGAGCTCTGGTGGTGTCGTGCTTAAGGCATCTGACTGCTAACCAGAAGGTCTGCAGTTCAAACCTGACAGTCACTCCACAGAAGGAAGACTGGGCAACCTACTTCTGTAAAGATTTACCACCTCAGGGTCGCTTTGAGTCAAAATTGACTGGATGGCAGTGAGCTTGTTTGTTTGTTTTTCCTACACATACAGTTTCATAATTACGTTCCCATACTACATAGCTTAATTGTAGAAATACAACAAACACTTATTTGTTGATTTTAAAAATTTACATTTTCAAAAATAGAAGTGGTGAAATACCTCAGGAAAGGTTGACTCTTATTCACCTCATCTTGTATTTTTTCCTTAAGTTTCTAACATACATAGTTCAGATAGCTTCATGCACGCATAATATATGGTATATCCAGAGTAGAGACACTGATTTCCACAAGCACGTTAGGAAAAACATATACATACAATAAAATAACAGCAGAAAAATACATGTAGTATGCTACACAGTATAAACCAGAACAGTACAAAACTAATAAAATAATGTAATTGAAATTTGAGAATATTTTATTTGCTTCAGAAGAAACCCAGTTAACAATAATACCATGTAAGAGGTCTGACCTGCAAATTGAGGAAGGAATAAGACTGTTTTATTTGAACTTCCGAAGACTTAATTGGGACCAGTCCAAGGCCATCAGGAGCCTAAAATGTGAACATTCAAATAAATGACACATAATCAACATTGAGGGAAAGCAGATTAAACAGTTGTACTCTCAAAGTAACCTCTTCTATGGCCACAGTTGCTATTTGTGTGAGATCACTGAGGCAGCACAGGTCATTCCCTCCTCCAGAAGGTGCTCTATGCTCAGTTTCAAGGAGGACCACGGTTCAGCTGGTGCTTGAAGAACATCAAAGGTAAACTCAAAAATGCATTCAAACAACCTAGCTCAAAATTCACTAAATATAACCAGCCTGGGAATTAAAATGGACAACTAGTTTGGGTCGACGAAAGAGGGGGAGGCCCTCAACGAGATGGATTGATACGGTGGCTGCGATGATGGGATCAAGTATAGCAGGGATTGTGGGGCTGGCGCGGGATCGGGCAGTGTTTCGTTCTGCTGTGCATGGGGTCACTATGAGTCGGAAATGACTCGACGGCACTTAACAACAACAACAACAGTTTTCCAGCCATAGAAAAGAGGTTATTGGTAGAGGTGAAATAATTTGAGAGTAATTTTGGACCTTGTTCTCACACAGTTTAGCTGAGATTCCTTGTCAATTTACTAAAGATTGGGTCAAATTCTACTTCTGCTGTGAGAATACAGGTAGTCCTTAACTTACGATAGGGTTCTGTTCTGACCACTCTATCATAAGTTGGTTCGGATGTAAGTTGAATATCTCATTTTAAAAAGAGTTTTCATTATCATTGCTTTTTATTATCAGTATAATTATAAATCCAATCTTTGTTTAATACATACACACATAAAAATACACAAATAAAAATTTACTCCAACGATGATAAAAATTTGGATGATGGGGCATTTTGCCAGTTGTGGTAATAACTCCATGTGTGGAAGATTCTGAATCATCTGGATTATCTCTGGGAATGATAATAAGGTTTCTAGTCAGAAAATTAGTGAGAGTTTGTATGGTCCTTGTCTTCCAGAAGCTCTGGTGGTGTAGTACCTAAGGCATTTGACTGCTAACCAGAAAGCTGGCGGTTCAAACCCACCAGCCACTCCTCGGAAGAAAATGGGGCAATATACTTCTGTAATGATACTGCCTTGGAAACCCAAGGATGGGTCGCTATGAGTCAGGTATGACTTGACACTGTGTGTTAGTTGTCTATCTTTCTTCAAATATTTTGCAGTAACATCTCACTGCTTCCCAAATCTGCCTATTAACCTTAGCAAAATCATCAGTGTTTGGGCCCATATTTCCAAACAACTGTAGCCTCTGATTTAAATCTACATGGCAGTATTTTGAATAGCAAATCACAAAATGAAGCATCTGTGAATGAACATCAGTAAATCACATGCTGCAACATTGCATGTAGTACATTTTACTATGGTAAGATGTACAAAAACAGAAACAGATGGTCGTAAGTATGGTTCATCATAACTTGAACACACTGAAAGTTGGGAACTACTTGTATGCAATATGAATGGTACTCTCTGAAGGGTTGTCGTATTTTTAAAAAAATGCATTTTATTGAAATATAATTTATGTACAGTGAAGCACACAAAACTAAAGTGACATGGGTCAATGCAGTTTTTTTTTCAGTGTTCCATCCCCTCCCCTCCCAATCCTGGCAACCAACAAAGAGTTTCCCTTCATATATAAACCTTTCCTTGACCCTCCACAACAATGAAATAATACTATATTTGTCCTTCTGTCATTGACTTATTTCACTCAGCAATTAATGTCCTCCAAGTTTATCCATAGTATACAGTATTTTGCAGACTCTACATTATTCTTTCTTGCAAAATTCTACCATACAAGTTCCAGCATTATTTCTGTCACCAAGGCCAAATTTTCCAACTACTGGTAATTCTTCTTTGTTTCTAACTTTTGCATTCCAGACACCAGTGATAATTAACACATCCTGATTGCATGTTTGG